GTAATAGGAGTCCCAGTTGCCCCCTAGTGGCCGGAGTAAACTAGTGCACATAAGCACTAGAGAAACCAAATGATGATCACTTTCTATTTTAGAGTAAATTTACCATTGAAATTAGATGCAGCTTTAGACAAAGGATGCATCCTGACCCATAGCTCACCTTCATAAAAGCTGTACTGCCTTCTTCTAGCCTTGTAGTAGTGAGCCAGCTTTTCTTGTCGAGCCATGGTGTCATTAGCGTCATGTTCTGGAGTGTCAGACTGGTAAATTAAGTGCTGATATGGACCTTTCAGTTTTCTTCTTTGTTGTCTTGCCATGCTGTGTTAACAGCAAAACAAAATTTGAGGATCCATTCATCCTATTCTATGAAAAAATCAACTTCTCTGGACTTTGGCTGCTTGCAAAGCGAAAGTTTCAGTCCCTTTGGTAAACAAACATCTAGCTTTTTGGGAATGGACCCACAATTTCTACCCCAAATACACCAAGTATACCAAAATCCGCATAAAAAGACAGGAGGAACAGAATGTCCCAACCAGACAATGATCCTAAACACATGGCGAAAAGCACACATGAGTTTTTAAAGAAGAAGAAAGTCACCCTCACCTGGCCAACTGACCTGAATCCTATAGAACAGCATCAGGGAATCTTAATACAGGTAGCAAGCAAGCAAAGTTTGTTTATATAGCGCTTTTTGCAACAGGTGTTGTCACAAAGCAGCTTTACAGAAAAATCAGCATTACAGAAAAAATTCCAGGTCCGAGCCCCCATGAGCGTCGCCAGTGGCAACAGTGGCAAGGAAAAACTCCCTAACAGAAACAGGAAGAAACCTTGAAAGGAACCAAGACTCAGAAGGGGAACCCATCCTCCTCTGGTCCACACCGGATAGTAAACATTGTTAGTATAAAGTATTACAGTACAGAGTGGGGAAAACAGGCGGAGCAATGGTTAATTAGATTAGTTTTAGATTATGCAGCGGCAGCAGCGTCAGGAGGGTCAGTTCATGAGGGTGAGGATTGCACAGCGTTGTACAGCATGAAGCTCAATGGTGGTCAAGCCAGTCCAGAAGGCTGGTGAGCAGTGGGCACCCGATCAAGGCAGAAGAGGCAACAGCATCAGAGGTGCACAAGCCACCTAGCCAAGTAGTTTTAGAATGAACCTTCTCTGAGGAATGGAGAATATCTCTCCAAATATTTGTTGGTACCATCATTTCTAAAGAGGCTTGAACAACAAAAGTGAACATTAAAAAAGATTAGAATAACAAAACTTCAACAATGAAGAGCGATTTTGGCTGCAGGTACTTTTAATGTACGAACACTTCATTACAGTTTGATCAGTAAAGTGTTGTTCAAATAAAAACTAATTAAGAATGTTGGAGTGATACTCAACACTTTTGTTATATGCTGTTTGTGAGTACATGGTGGTGGTAGTATGAGGGAAGACTAATTGAGGGAGGGGGGAGAACTTTGAGAACTTGGGCTGGAGTTCTTGGCGGCTTCTGCCTGTAGCTAGAAGGCCGGACCCCCTCATAGCTGTAATAGGACTGAGGAACAGGGAGGAGATGGGGTGGCGGAGGGGATTGCGAACACTTCGCCACGGGAACAGAAGGTGACGATGTGAATTTATAGGGTGTTAAATTTGAAGGAGGTGTTTCAGAAAAGTTCCTTCACCAAAACTATAGTTATAACATAACTACATTATGTATTGGTATTTATGTGTGTGTATATGTCGCTGTTGTCAGAAGAAAACCTTGTATCTCCAAAATGGTAACTTTACAGGAGAAGGAAAAAACATACTTTACTTTTAATGTAAGTCAATGGAACCAGACTTTTTTCCAAGTCATTTTGGGTTTTTTCTTTTGGTCCATTCATCATGAAATTTATACACAATGTAAAAGTCAACAGGCATTTTCAAATTATGTCAAAAACTGAAAAAATAAGGCTAAAAATGGAGATGCAAGGTTTTCTTCCGACAGCAGCGATATATATAGTTATATGTATGTAGTGATATACATATATGTATACATATATAAATCCTTAAATTAAATCAGCATGGAATTTAACAAATCTGTCTTCTTCATTCAAAAGTTATTTAGTGTTTTATTTACCGGAAAAGTAGTTTTAAACGGTTCTCATAGTGACCCAAGACTTGCGCAGTGCTCTGTATAGAAATGCAATAATAATAATAATAATAATAATAATAAAAAACAATTATTTAATACTTGTCAGTTTGGGAAAAGATAAAAAACACTTCAAAAATGACAAACAAGGGAAAATTTTTGCTTCGATCAAAACAAAGGGATGTGCTACAATGTTGAAATGGATGAGGTAAGAGTGAATCAGTACCTTTGCATTACCTTTGGCCATCATTACTGGTGTTTCTTATATTAATTGACGTTATTATTTTATTTAATATTGTTCTTTAAAATTTCATACTCTGTATCTTATTTGATTGCTCTAATAAACAAGACTGGAGGGAAGAAAAAAATGCAATTTGTGGTATTTTTGCTGAACTGAGCTCTAAGACGAGAGAACTTTAAAATATAAAGTTTTATCATTTACCATTTTGAGCAGCTTAATACTTCAATATTTCTCCAAATTAATCCCAATGAGGAGTTTAAAGCACAGGTTCTGAAGAGTCTGAACAGACTGCGGCGTTCGTTCTGTATCTCCAGAGGAGAAAGAGATCTGACCTTTTTCATCTCCTCGACTTATGTTATCTTTTTAAAGCAAATGTCAGATGTGTTCTCTCCCCGACTTTATCTCTATCTCTCTTTCTCGGGTTCAGTTTAATTAAATGGGAAGCGGCTGTCGAGCTGTTTAATGAGACTGCAGTTAAAAAGAAAATCAGGAGACTTGCAGCTGAAGATAAAATCAGAGATGTTTTCCAGCCACAGCCAACAGGTGGCGCAATGCTGAAGCTGCTCAAGTGGAACAAATTCCCAAGAAGCATTAATTGTCACTGCTTATTTCTGTAAGATGTGTACAACGGCGTTTTAGGGCCACTGTTAAAAAATAAGAAAAAAACATAGCTGCAAGCGGCAATCTGCGGGGTCCAAGCAACAGGGAGACAACGAGTGTTTATCTGGTGGCCAGTGGTCATAGAAGGCAGCAGATAGTTGGATTTTTAAGGAAAATTTCCTTTTTTAATGATAAAGATCACTAGGTGACATGTCTGCTACTGCGATTCTCCTTCAACAAAACAGACAGTTTACTCCGACTCCGTCTGGATCTTTATTCTAAATAAACGCAGTTCCTTGAACATCTGTTTCAGCTGTTTCCTATACTAATAACAGTCTGATGCTGATGTACCAGCAGTATTTCTTTATTGGTGAATCCGATACAAAAGTATAACTACCAACTCCTAAACGTCCCTTATTTTAAGAAAACCTTCCTTTTGCAAACCCTTTGGCCATAATATTGTGACTTCTCCTGGTAATTGTTGTCATTCTATGACTTTATTCTCAAAATATCATGACCTTATTCTCGAATCATGACTTTTTTTCCTGAAATATTACAAATTTATTCTAAAAAATATGTTAAAAGTTTATTATTTTCATTTTGGCCAGTGGACCTAAAACACTATCATACATATGTGAAGGAATAGACGGTATTTTTTGTTTTCAGCCGAGAAGAATGCGTAATTTTCAATTTTCAAACAGAATTCTTCATGTTAAGAAAAATTAGGCAAAATTAGGCATTTATTCCTTCTGACTTTATGATGTTTAGAAGTCATCAACTGTCATTGCTACTCTTCAAAAAACTTAAAACAAATACGCTGAGCGAGCTAGCCAATGTAACTAGCTAATGTTGGCTGAAAAAACTGACTAGCTCACTTAACTAATGCTTGAGCTAATGCTATTACTTCAACCCTGCTAGATATCACTGACACAATCATGCCATATGCAGTCTAGTAATATAACAGTGTCATGTTAGCATTACCGGTAACTGTCGTCATGGCTAATTAGAGTATGCTTATTTTACATTCAACAAAAAAATGAGATAACAATAAACCTTTAAATATGTTGATTAAATCAAACAAAGTAATAACAACTGTCTTTGAATTGTGGGAGGAAGCCGGAGCACCTGGAGAAAAACCCACACAGGGAGGACATGAAAAACTCCAGACAGAATAAACACTGTTTGCCCGGCCGGGGAATCAAACCCAGACCCTAAATCTTTCTAAACCTACTTGGCTAGATGGCTTGGCTAATCTATTAAGATTCTCTGATGGTGTTCTATAGGATTATTTTAGCAATAATAATAATAATAATAATAACAGTTATTATTGTTGAGCATTACATTCTATTACATACAATTTAACAAACCCGGATAACAACAAACATTTAAATATGTTAATAAAAATGAAGCAATAACAACAGGTAAATAAATGAAAATGAAATAAAAAAGGCAGAACATTTTATTATTGGCATGTTTCAGTATCAGAAAGGAAAAAAAGAAATTATAAAAAAATAACAATAAGCCACTATTTTTATTGGTGAGTACTACTTTCCATTACATGCAATTCGAAAACCTTTAAAACAATATTTTATAACTGTATAACTATATTTAATATTATTAGATATACAATCCATAGCATGCCAATTATCTACCAACAGCCTTTCTCTAAATGTTTGTCTTTATTTTTGTTCATTATCATTTATTTGTTTATCACTTAAACATCCTCCAAAGTAAAGCTTTAATTCTGAGCTTCAATTAAACAGTAATAATGATAATATCATTTATTTATATAGCACATTACTTATCATACATTAAAAATGCAGCTCAAAGTGTTTAACAAAGTAATACAAAGTAAAAACAAGTGAGGAAGAAGAGAAAAAAAGATAATTGAAAATAAAAACAAAAATAATAAACAACAAATAGCAGAAAGTGGATAAATTAATAATTACAATTAAAAAGCACAGGATAACAGTATAAATAAAAAGAGAAATGCAATGAAAGTGCAACTAACAGGAAAATAAAAGTAACTGTAATATTACAGTAAAAACAAAGAAAATAAAGTGATAAAATTGACACGACGGTTATTAACCCTGTGTTTGCTGAGCTTGAAGCAGCTTCTAACCTGTAGACTGAGATCCAGAGCACCGCAGGGACGACGACAGATGAAGCCGAGAGGTTGCAGGAGAGTAAACGCTGATCTTAAGTCCTGCAGATGCATAACTCGCATACATAACGTATATTATCTGTACACGGCCTTTTCTTCCAGCTGCTGACTGAAGGGCTGCTGTTATCTGTCAATGCACACAGTCCACGTCCTGCAGGGCTGTTTACCTCCAGCAGCCAGTATCTACAACATTATGGAGAAATCATTTCTACACATGTGGAAGGGGAAGTCCACCACATTTCTGCATAATTCAGAGGTTAAAAGTGATTCTGAGTGGTTTGGTGTGAAATGGTTCAGATGTCTTTACAGTGGTGGTGATAGGAACCAGTGGTCGCCATGACTACAACACAAATATAGACATTTTATTTACTATCAAAACCACCAGTGAACCTACACGAGTCTTCTGAGTTTATATGGAATGTTGATGATGGAAAATAGTGGAAAATCTGAAATAATCAGGTTTCTTTAGGGACTATTTGGCCTCATAACTTCCTGAATATTATGTATCCCTCCATCATGAATGGAGTTTAAGGCCAAAATCTTCTCTAAACTATCATAAAACAGTGTCTCAGTCATCAGGCAGTGAATTCATAACCATTTCATGGTGTAACTTTCTGTGAGGGAGCTTTTAGAGGTGGACGTCTGGTTCCTATCACCACCACTGTGAACAGTTCTGACTCGGTAAGTTTCTCTAGAACAGAGCGTTTCACACCAAACCACTCGGAACGACTCTGTTAAATATAAAATGTGCCATAATTTTTGCACAGGCCACATTTTATGTTTTATTTTTACCCCCCAGTATAAATAAACAGTGTGTATTAAAATATACAGTCAGTTTGTAATAAAATGTGCAGAAGTGTGTTCTCTGTAGAGGATGTGTTCACTTATTCACACTTCAACGAATACCAACGCCAGATGTTGGATCACTGTTTGTGTTTACATGCAAAGATTTCCTCCAATCTGATTGAATACATTCCGATTATAGATTCAGACTGAGGTGTTTGTATCTCACTCTACTCAACAATCTGATGAAAATCTCTGTTTACATTCACACGACAAGTAATCAGATCCAAAATTACACACGTGCGTAGAGAACCACTTAGTGTAGACGTTACCATGACAACCAGAATCACGTGAGTCCAGTCAGAGTGAGATGAGCAGCAGTGAGCAGCGCTTGTGTTTTTAATGACTTTAAAATGATGTCAGACTCAGGAAAACGTCCTTCACATGTCCTTATTAAAGAAGGCCGAGAGGAAGACGTCGTGTTCTGAGACACATAAGCTGGACGTCCGTCCCACCGCCGTCTTTTAGAGATCTGAGCATAAACTTCGTCTCCTCTGCAGACCAGTTTCTGCTCCGCCATGTTGAACGGTATAAACTTTCACTATGACGTGACGAACACGATCAGAACGGACTTAAACTTTCCGATAGGGAATGTAATCAGATACAGGCGTTTACACGGATATTATTCTTCTATTTAACGGATTATTTACAGGATTTCCCACCTCGATCAATCGAGGCAACATTGTGAAACATTGGAAGGAAATGATAAAGCGTCATATAAAAAGCATATTTATTTAATATTTTCTAAATATTTAGAATGAAACTGAGTAACTACATCATTTACTGATACTACAAATGTAAAAAGAAAAGCTACCATTTCTATTTCATGTTATTTTTCAAAAAATGACAATAATAGTAATTACCGTAATGCTATATGGTAAAGTCATGTTTTGTTTACTTGAACACTAAACAATCATTTAAAACCATTTAAAAACAGTTGATACTAGTAAATCCTAATTTATGCTTATAGCCACATGAAAGAATTGACTGGAACTGGCTTTCTGCAGGGTTCAATCATTGGCTATGTCAATCCAGCTGTCACACAATGTTGCTTTTAGGCAACATAAATACTTAAGAAAATTCTTATACTGTAAGAAGTTTATTAGTCTGTTCAACCTCTTTCCATCATTATTAACCCTTTTGCTGTCATTAAATATGTATCATGTCATTATAAACAGGAAAATGAGTGTGTTAACCTGAGGCAACATTGTGAAATAGTAAGTTTTTTTATAAGAATGTTTTGAAAATAATCATTTTAAATTGTGATTTTTAACTCACGCATTTGTCAGTGGTGTTCCATCAACCCAGGTCCAAACTCCAGTGTGAGATTCATGAAGTCCAATCCATAAAAAATTAAGTCCATGAATGAAGTTCTATTATGTAAACATAGAGTGGAGAGGTCAGTTCAAATGCTCTGAGAGACCATGACAAACGAAGAAATCTTAAAATACACTGTGGAGAGTTGAGTCTCTGCCACACATGTAACGTATTGTTTAAAGCACCTAATCTTTGTTAAAAAATCATGATGTTTGTTAGAGGGCGGCGGCGAGTGACGTTTGTTTATATGATGTTTGTTAATGATGCCGTTAGAGGGCGGCGCTGAGCGACGTTTGTTTATATAACGTTTATTAATGATGCCGTTAGAGGGCGGCGCTGAGCGACGTTTGTTTATATGACGTTTATTAATGATGCCGTTAGAGGGCGGCGGCGAGCGACGTTTGTTTATATGATGTTTGGTAATGACGCCTTTAGAGGGCGGCGGCGAGCGACGTTTGTTTATATGACGTTTGGTAATGATGCCTTTAGAGGGCGGCGCTGAGCGACGTTTGTTTATATGACGTTTGGTAATGACGCCTTTAGAGGGCGGCGCTGAGCGACGTTTGTTTATATGATGTTTGCTAGTCACGCCTTTAGAGGGCGGCGCTGAGCGACGTTTGTTTATGTGACGTTTGTTAATGACGCCGTTAGAGGGCGGCGCTGAGCGACGTTTATTTAATGTTTGTTAATGACACAACATCAAATCAAATAAACCTCCACAAATATCAAATAAACGCCGCCGCCCTCTAAAGGCGTCATTGTGCAAAATAATTGAATGAATCTAGATATCTAACGTAAAACTGAATTGTTTCCGATTTGCCCATGAAATAATTGTCTAGCGGGGGTTCCGACTGCATCATACCTGCTCTGTCCTGCTGTTAATGATGGCCAGGTCTGCTCCTTTCTTCAGGCAGTCCTGTCTGCCCTCGTCCCAGCTTTTCAACTCAGAGGAGACAAAATAACAGCTGCTACCAAAAACCACCCAGCCTGGACGACACACAGCAGCTGTCAAACGAACGATAATCAAATATGCAGATCGAATATTAATCAACCTTCATTTTTTCTCCTTTTTGGAACTTTTTTTTTTTACTTTCTCCTTCCTCATGCAAGAGGATTATCTGATATCTAATCTCCTCATAAACATCTCTTCAAAAAAATGATTAACTTGTATTTAATGGCTGTTTTTGAATGGAACCTGTATATATACACACACACTAATGTGACTTACTCAGTGCTGTCAGTCTGTGTTGAGCCTCAGTCAGGTTCTGGAGTAGGTGCTGGTTTTCGGAGAGCAGGTTGTTATAATCCTCCTGTAACCGATTCCTTTCATTCAGAATTGTGTTGTATTTGTTCTCTAACTCATCTCTCTCCTTTCCACTGCTGTTGGTCCTCTGCACTGCACTGCCGGCTGAAAAGACAAGCCAGCTTTCATCACTGATTGTTAAAAACACTGTTCAGACTAGAGGTGCACGACTGGAGTCGACCATGATCTGAATCTGACCATTCTTCCTCCAAAAAAGCAATCAACCAGTTGTTGACTCACACTACTTCGACTGAACCAAAATAGCTTAATAATACGTCACTTTTGGTGCTAAATAGCCACTCGACTCTTACTTTCAGTGAGATTTTGTTGCTAAAGCTGAAAGTAGGGCCTATACTGGGTGAGGAGGATAAAAACAGGCTAATTTAATGAGGGTGCGCTGCTGTGAGTCGCCCTGTAAAGCCTAAAAACATTTAAAAATCAGACCACATTGTACGTCTTTACCTATTAACGTCACACCCACAGGCTCAAAAAGAAGGTCCGGCTCAAAGTTTAGGCCTCAAATGACCTCAAAATCAACATTATACTGATAAAAACGTGATGACAACATTAGATTAACTCACGTCCTTCACCATGTTTAGACTGAGATCTCTCTGATTCTCTTTCAATCATCAGATTCATCCTGCTGGGGAAGGGGGCCGAAGCACAACTCACGCTACAAAATATTCTTCCGCGCATATATATATATATCGACCAGAGAGGTCTGCAAGTCCTCAAAAATGTACATAGTGTAGTGCTAATTAGGCAACTCATTATCTTTATCATCATCATCATCTTCTTCTTTAACTGTTTAATCCAGATTGGGTCGCAGTAGCAGTTGGGGGAGCAGATAATCCCAGACGACCCTGTACCCTGCAACTTCCTCCAGCTCATTCCGGGGGACCCTGAGCCGCTTCCAGACCAACTTGGAGATATAATCCCTCCAGCAGGTCCAAGGACGACCCCAGAGTCTCTCCCCAGTAGGCTGTACCTGGTAAACCTCTACCGGGAGGCGTCCAGGGCGCATCCTGATCAGATGCCCGAACCACCTCAACTGGTTCCCCTCAATGTGGAGGAGTAGCGGCTCCACTCCAAGCTCCTCCCGGATGACCGAGCTCCTCACCCTGTCAGTAGAGTGTAGCCGCCACCCTGCGAAGAAGGTCATTTCCGCCGCTTGCATGCTTGATCTCATTCTTTCGGTCATTACCCGAAGCTCAAGACCACAGGTGAGGGTGGGGATGTAGACTGACCAGTAAACAATGCTTCGCCTTATGGCTCAGCTCCCTCTGGACCACTACAGTCAGGTACAGTGACCGCAGTACTGCTGCCGCCTGTCCCTGCCTGCGGCCGATCTCACCATCCCTCTTCCCATCACTCGTGAACAAGATCCTGAGATAGTTTACACTCCTCCACCTGGGGCAGGTCCTTTCCCCCTTACCTAGAGTGGGCATGCCATCCTTTTCCAGGCTAGGACCATGGACTCGGACTTGGAGGTGCTGACCTGCATACGAACCGCTTCCAGCCAAAATGAATTTTTCATAAATATAAATTTTCATAAAGATAAAATGCCAGTTTAAGACCAAATAGTCTTATTTTTTATGGCTTCTATGGCTGCGAAGAAGTACTACGACTGATGTTCTGTGTGTTTGCTTAGTCTTCACAGTGTGAGCTCCAGGTATTAAAGAAGAATCAGCCAATTTGGCTGTTAAGAAACTAAATTTAAAAAATTAAATGATATCAAATTCCTGATTAGTGCACCTCTAGCTCAAACTGCTGGCCTGTAAGAATCAGGCACTACAGACTAATGGTCGCTGATCTCGAGTCACCTTTAAAAATGGATAAATGAATTCAAAGCTGACCCTGACAGACCAGGGCATGAAGAAGTTTGATGAGACAGGAATGGCTATAACCCTGCAGTCGCCTTTAACCAGCAGTTATTTTCTTTTCACTGAGCTGTAAAATTTTGCCCGAACTGTGCTGCTGTAAACACCGGGCCAGGAGGAGGAACCACGGTGGCAGTGATTTAGACAGAAATCTGGCTGGGAGAGACGTGCAGGGGCTGGCCGCTGCCATCTGTTGACATTTGGAGCACATTTGGAGCACCGCTGAATTGTGCAACACTCAGACAGAGCCAATCTTTGACGACCTGACTCGCTCCTCTAACATGGCAGGCTGTAACACTGCATCTCCTCCACTAACAATGCGCCTGCCTGCAGTCTGACACCGGCTTTCCGGCTTTCCGGCTTGACGGACTGACGCTGGGAATGCAGTTAAAATTTGTGCACAAGTTCCACTCAGTAAAACTATCAGAATCAAAATCAGATCTTTTGTTTGTCTTGGTAGTATTGCACATTAAGAGAGGCCTAATAGGAAGTAAATGATATTGTGTGTAAACAGCCAACATATGCGCCACATGCAGTAAATGCAACGTTTAAAGGTCCCATATTGATGAAATTTGAATTAAAAGAGTTGATATGGTACGTAAACAACACATATTCAAGCGTACTATTCACTCTCCAGTCCATACAGTTCATTTACAGATACTAAACTGCAAAACAACCTGTTTTGAATTCACCGTTTCTGTGATGTCAAAAAACCTTTACATATATATATATAGGTGCACTTTGCAGTTACAGACTGTAGTCCATCTGTTTCTCTGATACTTTGTTAGCCCCCTTTTACCCTGTTCTTCAGTGGTCAGAACCCCCCATGGACCCTCACAGAGCAGGTACTATTTGGGTGGTGGGTCATTTTCAGCACTGCAGTAACTCTGACGTGGTGGTGGTGTGTTAGCGTGTGTTGTGCTGGTCTGAGTGGATCAGACACAGCAGTGCTGCTGGAGTTTTTAAACACTGTGTCCACTCACTGTCCACTCTATTAGACACTCCTACCTTGTCAGTCCACCTTGTAGATCTGCTGCTGCACAGTTGAGAGGTAGTTTACGGGCTAATACAAGTGAAGTTGAGAGTCAGTTAAGGGTGAGTAGAGGTGGAGTCGAGAATTAGTTAAGGGTGAGTCCAAGTGGAGTTGAGAGTCAGTTAGGGGCAAGAACAAGTGGAGTCACGAGTCCGTTAAGGGCGAGTCCGAGAAGAATTGCAATTCAGTTAAGGGTGAGTCTGAGTGGAGTCAGATTCATGGGTCAGATAAGGTTGAGTCTGACTCGAGTCAGTTAAGAGCTACTAATTATTTTTTCTTTGATGTTTCCTTCTCTGAATTTTCACCATGCAGTGCTCAAATACACCTAGTTTTTCTTCAGATCTCTATGATTTCAGGCTATCGCAACAAAAATAACCACAAGTTCTCCAAAACACAAGGAAACGTTGCTTAATCAGCATCATTTCCAGTCAACCCTTCAAACTATGAGGTAACATTACATCACTGTGTTTATATGTGTGTTTATAAATGATCAATTACAGTTTTAAAGCCTGCTTTAAAGCACCTCCCCTCAAAATCAATGACAAACAGTGAAGTGAGTTACAGGATCTTTGCTGTATTATTGCTTAAAGAGAAAAATTCACTCAAAACTTATTGATAAATTCATAAACTCACACAGCAGCCGCAGGGTGACGTTCAGAGTGACTTGCAGAACACACAGCACCATAAAGCTGACCGCAATCAGCCTGTAGGTCCTCAAACTGGCCTCTTCAGTCCCTTAAACAAACACAGACAGAGAAGTTTGTTTATATCCTCTACAAACACTTAAATACATTCACTGACCACTATTCACAGTGTGGTACTGGGTCATTAAAACGACCACGTCTCCATGTTGGCAGGTGAGCTGTAGCTCTGAGCTCTGATGGAGCTCGTCTCATCACCGTTACTGCAGATACAGCCCTGCAGGAGATAAACACCAACACAACAGACCAGAATGACCTCAAACACATGAACAGATATGTAGACGCTTTAGATGCGTCTCCAGAAACACTACGAGGAGAAGATGATCTAGATCTGAGGATCCGTATCACCTGCACATCTCCAGAGTTCAGAACATTCCAGTGTGAGATATTTTATAAAAACTAATAAAAGTGGCAGCAAAACTGCCAAAACTATTAAATAATGAACTCAGACACACAAATAAAGCTGAAGCAGCTTCTTAATCACCAGCTTCTCATCTGAACTTTCCGTTCCACCTTAAATGGAGCTGCAGTTACACTGAGGCGCCTTAAACGCAGGACAAATTAGGAAAGTTGTCGAATGTGAAGCCAAAATCAACTTAAATCAATAAATACATTAATTTACCTCAATAAAAGCTCCTTAATCAACAAACCCCTCAAACTTCCTCTTGGAGGTGTTTAATGAGCAGCTAACGAGCAGCTCAGCAGAGCAGCTGTTGAACGCGTCTCACTGGCTGATCTAAGGCCGCGTCCCAAACCACACACTTCTGTACTTCATCTGCTACACTAATGAGAGCACTTCTAATGGGATATGCACTATTTTTACACACTATTTAGTGAGCTAGTGTGCGGTTTGGGACGGGGCGCCAGTAACGCAGCGGGAAATCTCAGCCGTTTAGATTTCTGCTTTGATTTGTTAATCACTACAGCAACCAATCAAATAAAATCAAGCCAATACACTCAAATATATCAGTTAATACGCTTTAAAATGAGATTTAAAAGTGTTTAAAGTGTGTTTTGCTTAATTTGCTGGGTCAGTTATGGCTTCACCTCATTACAGACAGACTCAGCACTGCTGAGGGAACTTGATGTTGCAACCAAAATGGCGGAAGTGCGAGTGAAATACTATCAATACTAGAAACACCCACCATATAGGTCTCACCTCGTAGGTTTACAGTTACAAACAAACTGTCAGAACCTTTTGAACTGTCTAAAACTATCGTATAACAGTGTCTCAGTCATCAGGCAGTGAATTCATAACCATTTCATGTAGTAACTTTCTGTGAGGGAGCAGAGCGTTTCACACCAAACCACTCTGAATGACTCTGTTTACATCTTAGAAGAAAACTGTCCAATCAAACCCAGAGTGTGAGAGAGAGTCAGTAATCTAGCGCTTCAAGAGTTTAAAAGGCTGCTTAAAAGCGAATTTTTGCACATAAAACAGTGAAATAAAATGTTCATATTTCTATGAAAAAAAGTACGAAAGCCCATGAAAGTCCATCCTGCTTTATTTGTCCTTCAGGGGGGATAATGTCCTTCATGCCTGTTCACAACTTCTCATTTCTACTCACAACATTCACACAGCATTCTTTACAAAAAATCACTGAAATAGCAGAAATAGCTCTGTCCATCCCCACTGATTAAATCGGCCACAACAGCCCTGACGAGCCGCGACCACAACCAACGTGTGATACACCACACAAAACTAGGGGTGGAGAACACTGTTGGGTTGGTATGTCAGGGTCACTTTGACTTACAATGAGACCAATAAGCCCATTTTACAAGAAGTGGAAGTTCCACAAGTTCCGGCGTTGCTTTATGGACAGTTATTAGCCTCAGAATAGGCGTTTGTATCACTTCAGCTGACCACAGAAAGGTCAGTGCTTTTGTGGCACAGCTATTTCTGCTATTTAAATGTTTGAATGTTGTAAAGATGTGAATGTTGCAAGTAAAAACAAGAAGTTGTCAATAAGCATGAAGGACATTAAAACCTGTTTAATGTGCAAACATTCATTTTAAGCAGCCTTTTAAACCCGGATTACACACCGGGTTTAAGTTTAAACACAGGTACAGGTGATTCAAAAAAATTCATCCGATTTCAAAGTGATTCATTTCACTCATAAATCATTACAGATCAATGCAGTGAACTGTAAATGGTTTAAATGGGCATAAAGTTTATTATGTAATTGTACAAGGTCTCAGTATGAACCTCCTCCAGCTGTACAGACAACATCAACACCATAGTCAAACTCATCCCATACTGGATTGAGCGTGTCGGGTGTCGCTGCACTCACGGCTCTTTCAGTGCGATTTCGGACATCGTCCAGTGTTGTGGAACCAACGCCGAACGCTCTGACTCAACTTTAACAAACTGCATTCAGTGTAACGTAAGTCAGCAGCGGTGAAATGCAGACACAGAGGGTCTTTTGCTCCGTATGACAAAGTTTATTCCTTTATTAGTTACACAAACTCGTTCTCCTCTGCTCATCAACAGTCGACAAACCACTGAAACTGAGAGGCTATTTCTGCTTCATGCTTGAACACTTGAGTGAGCTGTAATCACTCTACTCACCATCGCTGCTATCGTTGTTGCTTTAGCAGAAGCAGCGTTACTCTGCAGTGACCACGTCCAGCAGGAAAAATGTGGAAATGTGAAAAGGGCCTATTTCATAAAACAGTTTTTCTGGAAGTTCTAGATACATCACAGACCTTGAATACGTGCTGTTATCTAACCAGTTAATAAATATCCGTCTGTTAAAAGCTTCAAATAAAACTTATGAAACGTCTTTTACAAGCTTTGAACGTCCAGTCATCACCCAGAATGACCAAATATTCATGCACCCATGTTAGCTTAGAGCTAACATACTATTAGAAATCTTATAGGGGTGCTAGCAGAGATTAGCAGTATAACAGAGCTGTTATTTTTACGTTTGGTTGACCAAGTTTTAACATCGACCCCTTAAAATCTCAGGCTTATTACATACAAAGGCTTATTATTCAGTAATTATAAGGACCTCAGTGCAAACTGACTGAGCTATTCTTAGGTTATAGCAGTGTGTAATAAAACTTTGGTCCCACCTGTGGGCTCATGGTGGGTGTTTCTGATAAAATGGCCAATGAGTATCTACATAGCAGGTGTTCCTAATAAAGTGGAAGTCCAGAAGGTGTTATTAGCTAATTTGTATTACAGAAACTTTCTGTCTTTTTATCCTAAGTTAAGATCTGACAGGCCAAGATACGATTTTTCACAAATTTGTATTACAGATCTGATCTTAATTCAGTTCTGTTTCCTAGCAACCAACCACATGCACACAGCTGTAATGTAAACACGTCATCAAAATAATCAAGTTAGTTAGCCAGACAGCTTCGATTACTGGTGTAAAAAAGGTCAAACAGAACTAAACCGTGATAAACTGTAAGTAGTGAATACTGTGAGAGCGCCCCCTGCTGTTTATCAGAGCGTCGCCGCTCCCCAGTTTCAGTCTCCATTTCCCAGACGCTTTAGCCGAGCGCGCTAACGTTACTCCTCCTAATAAACAGACACACGTTCAGCTCCGTCTCCTCATTATTCACCACCATCACTGTAATATTTCATCATCAACATTAACACACGAAGGTGATCAGAGGGGCGGTGGAGATCGAGTCTGCAGCGTCTGAGATCTTTAAAACGCAGAGTCAGAAAAGAAAATCATCTCACAGTGAAAGCAGCGTTTTACAGTAGAAATAAATGGAGCTCATTATGCTGGTAGTGAACTATGCTGCTGACACAGCTGCCTAAAAACCATAGAAACGGACCTTAAACAGAAGTGAGGACCCTGTTGGGGTTCATCCTAAAGTTAGGACAGGATTTAGGAGGTTTAGTCTAGTTAGGATGTTTGTGTGATGCTGTTTTCTTATCTGGAGTTCATGATGAGATGATGAAGTTACTGTTATTCTGTAATAGATACTGTCCTGAATTCAGTCCGTGATGAAGTCGTCATGGAGACTAAACAGGTCAGTTTTCAGAGTTGGGATGTTTCTGTAATACGAACCGTGATCTGCAAAACCAAGACTTTTACTGAGCTTTTGGTTACTAGACTGTTTGAATGTATAAAGCAATTACATTTATACCTAATTTACATTCTGTATGGACAACTTTGATTTTTTTGCTTTGTTTGTTTTGATCAGCAAAAACTACGTAAACGTGGCAAAAATGTAAAAGATGTTTTTTATGTTGGCAAAACACAACAGTAACATTTCACCAAATTCACATCATAATAAATAATCTCCTCTTCTGCTTATAAACACAAATGTTTGGACTGAAAGTTTAGAATCTGCACTTTACATGTAATTTATCCACTTCTTTCTAAGAGGAACTGGTGAGAAACAATCCAGCCAACTGTGAGAGGAGGTAACTACACTCACCCACAGGTGAAATATTATTCTGTTTAGGTTGAATATTGACGTAGGCCTGATCTGTAGGTCCTCCAGAGCGGGTTTCGTCAGTTGTCTCCATCGCGTCTTTAGGGCGCTCACGACAAACGCCTCAAAGTTCAGCCTCAAATCTTACACACTGAAACTGGAGGTTTCATCAACCTTCAACTGCTAGACAGGAAGTTACACCATCTGATGACACTAGAAGTAAAAAGCGGAGAACGCCGGCGCTCCTTTCACCCCCCGGTGTGCCCTCTGGTGTACGGGGTTTGTTCTTGATTGGATTTGATTTACAACACATACGTCTGGAAAGGTGAGCTGAAATCAAAGAACAGGTGAAAAAACGCCTGAAACCATCCTGAAGATAAAAACCGCTGTCAATGCAGTGAAACTGTGACACTATGAAAATATGAACCTATAAACTATAAAACTATGAAATTATGAAATTATGATTCAAGAAGGAGCAAAACTGACTCTTTATTACCAAAACAACTTTATACTCTGAATAAAACTGAGACTCAGACGCAGAAGAGAATATCATTCTAAACAGACAGACAGACAGACAGACAGACAGATAGATACATAGACAGACAGACAGACAGACAGATATACCGACAGACAGGTAGATAGATAGATAGATAGATAGATAGATAGATAGATAGATACAGACAGACAGACAGACAGAATAGATATACAGACAGACAGATAGATAGACAAATAGATAGACAGACAGATATACAGACAGTTGGACAGATAGATAGATACATAGATAGATAGATAGATAGCTCATCTGCTGCTGCACAGTCTGTGTTGGTCATCCTCTAGTCCTTCATCAGTGGTCACAGGACGCTGTTGGCTGGATGTTTTTGGTTGGTGGACTATTCTCAGTCCAGCACCGACACTGAGGTGTTTAAAAACTCCAGCAGCGCTGCTGTGTCTGATCCACTCAGACCAGCGCAACACACACTAACACACCACCACCATGTCAGTGTTACTGCAGTGCTGAGAATGACCCACCACCCAAATAGTACCTGCTCTGTGAGGGTCCATGGGAGTCCTGACCACTGAAGAACAGGGTAACAAAGTATGCAGAGAAACAGATGGACTACAGTCTGTAACTGTAGAACTACAGAGTGAAACTATGTGGTCAGTGGAGCTGATAAGATGGACAATGAGTGGAGAAACAAGGAGGTGGCCACTTTATTATTTTTACTATTTAAATTTTCACATTTTTAATTGATCAGTACCAGAATTAATTTCTATGTTTCTATACTTTAAAGCAGCTTCACTACAAATTACTACATTCAGTGTGTCGAAACCAACGTGACGGATTAATGATGTGATGATTGTAAGTACCGAAGTAGCTCAGTGAGATCATCTGTCTCTCTCTCTCTCTCTCTCTCTCTCTCTCTCTCTCTCTCTCTCACACTCTCTCTCTCTCTCTCTCTCTCTCTCTCTCTCTCTCTCTCTCTCTGTCTCTTCCTCTCTCTCGTGTGTGATGGTCATTACAGCACTTCAGACATCCAGGTGACAGACACGAAAATGAAAAGAGAAATCCAATATACAGCCTGTACAACCCGTCTCTCACCCCCTCCACCCCCACAAACACACATACAGCACACACACGTATATATATATAAATATATATATATATATATATAATATATATATATATATATATATATAAGTAACCCAGTAATAAAGGCTCATATCGCTGTTGACCAAAACCTTGCATCTCTAAAATGGTAACTTTACAGGAGAAGGAAAAAACCTACTTTACTTTTAATGTAAGTCAATGGAACAAGAATTTTTTTAAAGTCATTTTTGGCCGTTTCTTTTTGTCCAGTCATCATGAAATTCACACACAATGTAAAGAGCAACAGGCATTTTTAAATTATACCAAAAACTGAAAAACAAACAAAAAAAAAGGACATCCGGTTTTGTTCCAACAGCAGTGATGTGTTATAATTTGCCCCATATGTATTATACTACATACGTTTCTAACCCTGAGAACCAAAAATGAACCTAAAGTCAGTAAAATAAGAGAATATTTTCTGGCATTTTGTTTAAAAATGTATTTTTTCCTTGTGTGGACCAGCAGAGCTCTCTGATTACAGAGAGAAAAAGACCCCCCAACACCCCCCCCCACTACACGCTATACAGCCTCCATTTAAATTCTCTCTCTCTCTCTCTCTCTCTCTCTCTCTCGCTCTGCTAATTCAAAGAGAAAGTATCTTTGTAGGTCCATCTAATGTGTGGAAGGAGGGATGAAAGCAAAGCTGAAGAATTCAGAGTAAGGGGGGGGACAGGTGACAGAGCTGGTGATTAAGAGAGAGAGAGAGAGAGAGAGAGAAAGAGAGAGAGAGAGAGAGAGAGAGAGAGAGAGAGAGAGAGAGAGAGAGAGAGAGAGAGAGACCTCAGCTTTCTTTTTATCTGTCAGAGGTGAAAACACAGGGAAGGTGAAGCTGAAGCGTAATTATTTCTCTCTCTCTCTCTCTCTCTCTCTCTCTCTCTCTCTCTCTCACTCGCTCTATCTCTCTCTCTCTCTCTCTCCTCGCTCTCTCTCTCTCTCTCTCTCTCTCTCTCTCTCTCTCTCTCTCTCTCGCTCTCTCTCTCTCGCTCTCTCTCTCGCTGCTCACTCTCTCTCTCTCTCTCGCTCTCTCTCTCTCTCTCGCTGCTCGCTCTCGCTCCCTCTCTCTGAAATGTAAGCAGCTTTTATATCTAACCATCACAGCAGTGCTGAAACGTCCACAGCTACACAAAGCACCTCACACACACACACACACACGCACACACACACACACACACACACACACACACACAGCAGTTCAGCACGTTTCTCTCCTTCACTGATTCATTTTGAGTTAATGAGTCTAGTTTTTATACTGCAGTAAAAGTGCAGATATAAAGATTCAAAGATATTTTTGTAATTAAAACAGTAAATTGTGCTTCTGATCATTTTGATAAAAAGCTTTAACGTCAATTTTCAAAAAGATTTTGCCTAGAAATCCTAAAAATGAGACAATTAAACAGTAATAAAAAAAGCAAATTAAAGGGAAATGGAAGGTAAAGTAAAGGAAAAAAAGAAAATTAAAGAAGCAAATTGATATATTTTTCAGTTTCAGAACTCCATTGCTAAATTGTGACTTTTGCAGTAGAAATTTTGAAAAAATACATTTAAAAAAAGCAGAAAAAAGAAGACAATTTAAAAAGCTCCACCTGAAATCACAAAAAACAAGAAATAACAAAGAATAATGAAGAACATCACTGTATTCTTGCTGTAAACTCAGCGATTTAGTTTAAACAGTAATTTAAGAGAATTCGGCCACTTGAATTGGGAAATGTTACTAAGGATTAATTTAAAATCAATCAAATCAATCAGGCTGGTTCTTGATATTTCGACCGAGCATCACTGCTTGTACATGCAAAAAAAACAAGTTTGATTCATTTTATTTTATTCAATTATTTTTATTCAATAAAACCCCAAAAATATGAATCAAATACACACTTGGTTCTTCAAGCGTTCTTTAGAAAAGGGAATGGTTCAATTTAGAACCATGAACTCTATATAGAACCATTTGCATGCTTAAATGGTTCTTTGGATGGTGAAATGGTTCTTCAGATTAATGGAGAATGTGTTGTATATGATTTAGCACCAAATAGGGTTCTGCTGTTGTGAGCTATATAGAACCATTGGAGCTATATAGAACCATTTCCATACACAGCCAAGCTTTCCTAAGAAAAAACCTGCGAAGGTTCTTAAGACAAACTCTAAGAACTTCATAAGAATGTTCCTAAATGCGATTGTAGAAAAAAAAACTGCGAAGCTGGAGCAACTTGAGAAGTGAGGGGGCGCGTAAAACTCCAGCCCTCTTACCCAAATTACTGGCCAATTTGCACGTCGTCTCCTTCTGGTGGCCCGGAGTGCCGCAGCCCTGGGGCCGTATTACAGAAAATTCTTAAGTCTGAGATCATATCTTATCTGCTTTGTTGTCATGGCAACTTCAGTTAAGACTGAGTTTAGGACAGAAGCCATTACAGAACAACAGTTCTTAAGTCTGTAATCTTCTCTTATTTCCAGATAAGAAAACGGTTTTACAGAAACATCCTAAGTTGCCCAAATATCCTAAATATTTTCTTAACTTTAAGATAAAATCTGATCAGGTCTGTCTGAACCTCTGTTTAATCATCCGTTTCTATTGTTTTATGCAGTGATAGGCAGCACAGCTCACTATAACCACCATAATGACGCTACATTTATCTACACTGAATACTGAGCTTTGACTTGTGAGGTTTTTTTCTAACAGTGTTTAAAACTCTCAGACGCTGCAGACTCGACCTCCACCGCCCCTCTGATCACCTTCGTGTGTTAATGTTGATGATGAAATATTACAGTGATGGTGGTGAATAATGAGGAGACGGAGCTGAACGTGTGTCTGTTTATTAGGAGGAGTAACGTTAGCGCGCTCGGCTAAAGCGTTTGGGAAATGGAGACTGAAACTGGGGAGATGGCGACGCTCTGATAAACAGCAGGGGGCACTGAAAGAACATTATACTTTCAGTTTATGGCAATTTTGTTTTGTTGACTTTACATCAGTAACGGTGGCTTACATTAGCTGTCTGGCTAACTAACTTGATTACATGTTTACATTACAGCTGTGTGCATATGGTCGGTTGCTAGGTAACAGACACGACAGTTGATTGTCGACTTCGATCAAGTAAGTTAAGATTTCCTAACTTGAGATAAGAAAAGATGCTATAAGATAAGATTCCTAAATTAAGGTCAGATTTGCTTCTGTAATATGAATTTCTGAAAAATCTTATCTTGACCTGTCAGATCTTAATTTAAGACAAAAAGATAAGAATTTTCTGTAATACGGCCCCTGGAGCCGCCCATACACTTAGAATACGTTGTTTTCAAACAATTAAATGCGTCTCTAATATCAATACAAGTTATGTGAGAAGTTTCAGTCAGGTTTTTGTTTTAACCATAGTACTGAGACAACATTGGTTCGTGTTGTCAGTGACCTCAGGCTCAGCGCTGATGCACAAAATCCTTCTATTCTGCTCTTATTGGATCTCAGATTTTGATGCCGCTGATCATGATTCTAA